TTATGGTAAGGGGCATTACATTTCCGACGCGTGCTTGTGGTGTTTGGCCAATCATAATGCACTGTGTCAGCTGGCCAATCAGAGCAGACTGCGCTTGTCGGAAGGAGGGACTTTGTAGAAAACGAAGCGTTTGAGAGAGGCGGGGCATAGAGGACCTACTTTTTTGAACATTAAAGCATGTCAACATATTCTGTTACACCAAATACACAAAATAATGATCTTTAAAAAAGCATCATATGACCCCTTTAAGCAAAGTCACGTAGCATTTCATGTTGCTACACTGCTAGTTGAAAAAAATAGCTTGCTACTGAAAATGCTGAACTATTTTAAAAGTATCATCTCTACTGTCAAGCTACTGAAAAATGTAATTAATCTAGTAGCATCACTACTTGTATTTAACTACTCCCCAGCACTGATTTGGTTCTTATTACAACAACTCAGACTTAGTGTTAGAGATTTCAACAGACCCACTGTAAGTATCAAAAGTTGGTATATAACATTTTTCATTCTTTAAGAAAATGTAAGAATATACTTGTTTGTATTACCCCTTTGTTGTTCCTTCTATAATCTGCTGAGACACACATTTTCAAATAGGTTTATGAGCTTCCTTTGGAAATTCATGCTAAAAGTAGCCCATATTTTATGGGGCACATTTATTTTTAACAGATCTGAACAGCACAAACAATAAATCTTTAAAAGGAGAGCACAGTTAGGATTTTACTGGGTCTTCCCTCAGTAAATTGTTCCCAAGCGAGTAAAGAGTGCAGGCTTTGCTTGGGAAAAGGCATTCCAGTGAAATCTCAGCATAACTTAAAACCTGTGTGGGGGAAAAAATGGGCTTCTCACATCCGTTTGCATTGCTTAAGAGCAGTAGAGCTGAGGCTGACATTTAGACAGTCCTATTAGAGAACATTGACCAAAGTGGGTTGAATGACAGCACTGTGACGGCAGTGTTAGTGTGATAGCCGAAAGGAAATGAAGTTGTCATTGTCAGCTCTGGTGTCATCCTCAAGACTTGTCTTAGAATAGATTACACTTTTAGCTCTAACACATCTGATGTATTTACCACAGTAAACGTTTAATTTTCAGTAGCTGACTCATAAGTTCAGAGAGAATTTCATTTCGGTTGTTTTCTAAAGTGAGTTTTTATCGCCGTATATATGTCAGGAAAGAAACTGAGACTGTTTTCAATGTATGAACAGGCTTTTAGTCTGAAAATTAGAATTTTCTCGTATCACCAGAGCCGTTAATAGCAATAAAAATGCATTTCAGGGCTTTCCATTTTTGCTCGCCTTGCTTACAACTTTAAGTGGGTCTGTGCATGAAGCGGATTCATTCGGCAGACCTCTCGGCCTTCTGTGTGTCTTGAATCGAAATGTGCACACCCATATTGATCATGGACTTCTGGGAAACATATTTCAACCCGCGTTGTGCTCATTCCCACACTGAGAAAACAATACCATCATTAAGTCTTTCACAAGTTACTATTTGTCTGAATAATCATATTAATAGTGTTCACAAAATGTGTGGACAGTAATGCTAAATATCTGGATGTCTGCCCAAGCCATTAGCCATTGCGATTGTTAATACCTTCACTCCCAAAATAACTGTATTAATCTGTATTTTGGTCTTTTCCATTAAAAATATCTAAACATCCTTAAAACATGATACATTTACTTCAAAATCAATATTGTGTATGAAAATAAGAGTTGTTTTTTAGTATCTCGAATTATGTTACTCCATTAGCAAATGTTAGCGCATTAACAAAAACAAAACCTCTGAGTCATAGACATCACAATGGACGTAAGAGGTATAAAGGTGTGTATATGTGGTTTCTGGAATATGTTTTGGTTTCTGTGAGATATCGGTGAACAAAAATGTAGTGTCATGTTGATGAAAAAAGAAAGTAGGCTACCTTGTTGCCATGGTACATTAATGCAGTACCTTTTTATTGTTGATAGCTCTTTATAGATATCTGCTGTAGAAGGTTTTGAGTTCTCTCTCTCTCTCTCTCTCTCTCTCTCTCTTTCTTTCTTTAAGGGTCCTGCTGGCCCAGCTGGTACAGAAGGCAGGCAAGGAGAGAAGGGCGCAAAGGTAAGATAGTTTCCATTATTTAAACTCGCACCTGAACAACCAAACAACATGATTGCCATTTGTATTGCAGCATAAATCGTTTGTCCTCCTGAAAGCTTGATTTGTTATCTGTCCATGCTTTTGTCTGTTGAATCCAATCTCTCAAGACACTTAGTGGTCCTGACTTTTAAAATCCTCATTGAAAGATCTGAACACGAGAAAGCCTAATTGGATGCCACAACAAGTTAAGCTTATACTACAGGTTCTATCACTAGAAGTGACAGAAAATCTATATTTTCCCCTGTAAAAGCTTTTGTTCTTCAAAATGATTTGTTGATCCACTGTTATTATTCATCTTGTCACATTAGCCATGTTTACCATGTTTAGGACACTTGCATTGAAAAGGTCAGTTAAATGATAAAAAAAACAAAAACATAAATGATTAAAAACATTAGATATATAGAATGTCCTTTACAAATATTTTTGCACATTATAAAATTATTCTTCTTTTTTTTTCAAATAAATGTTTTGTCCATTTATTTATTAGTTTAGTAAGTGGCTATTTTATGTGGGTCCCATTCGCCCTGTCAGGGTTTTTTTTTTTTTTTTTTTAAATGTGATCCCCCCCCATAACTAGTAATATATAATGTATTACATTTTGGAAGTAACTTGCCCAACACTGTTAACCAGTATATTATCCCTCAATTGTATTTTCGTCAAACAGGGTGAGGCTGGTGCTGAAGGACCAGCGGGCAAAACTGGGCCTGTGGGCCCCCAGGGGCCTCCTGGAAAGTCTGGAGCTGAGGGCTTACGTGGCATCCCTGGGCCTGTGGTATGGAAACTCTGATACAGTTCAAATTACTGCGTAATTATATTAAGTGAGCAGAATGGTACACAAGAATCTCTTAATTTGAATAATTAAGCTTTTCAAGTTTAATCACTCTTCTTGTCTAGTCGGTAGATTTGAGTACATGTGCCGTGCATTAATTTTTGCATATTATAGTATGTTTTAATGGGCTGCTGCTTTCTGTCTGCTCTCTCAGGGTGAGCAGGGACTTCCTGGAGCTGCTGGCCAAGATGGTCCTCCTGGACCGTTGGTAAGAAGATACAATCAGGCACCATTATGTTGTTCATTTAGACTAATGAATGTCACTTGTATAATGTTTTTTTTTTGTCTAATTGTCATGACAAATTCTAGGGTCCTCCTGGTCTTCCTGGCTTGAAAGGTGACCCTGGTACTAAGGGTGAGAAGGTATGTTTTAACTAGTATTTAACTGGTACTTTTCTGAAGCACAGAAATAAGAATGCTGCAAATTTTAGTAAGAAAACCTCACGTCATGTCATGTCGGATGGATGGATGGATGGATGGATATATAGATATAGAACATACATGCTGTTCTTTTGTGCACCAGATCATATGACACTGTAAATGTCTGAAGAAAACTCAGCTTTGCCATCACAGAAATAAAATAGATTTTAAAATATATTCAAATAGAAAACAGTTTAACTTGCAGTAATATTTCACAGTATGGCACAATATTTTTGATCAAATAAATGCTGCCTTTGTGAGCTTAAGAGACTTTAAAAACATTAAATATATACTTTATATGCCATAAACTGCTCTCCAAGGAGTTTCTACACTTTAAAAATGTTTCCTTTCCTAAACGTGTCTATGAATATTTACAATAACGCTGAGCTCAGTTGAAAGTTTAAGATGTGAGAGCAACAGGCCTTACTGCCATCTCTATTTCACATAATGACAAGGTATAAACAAGCTCTTAGTGCTGTAGATTAAATACAGTGTCAGACAATGATTAAACTTTTACGCTGCCTGCAGTACATAATCAATGCAGTATACATCTGTAAATCTGTTTTATGAGAGGAGACCTGCTGAGATGTGAAGTATTAAAATTCTGGAGAGGCAAGTACAGTAGCTGTGACTATAAATATCAGGTGTTGAATAGAAACTAAAGCACTTGAGCACCTCTCAGATTCTGTGCTTTAAAGGTGGAGTAAGCAATTTCTGGTAGCCAGTGTTGACATTTGAAATCACCAAAACAAACACGCCCCTACCCCAAAATGGTCTCGCCCCTATTTTGACAGCTCCGCCCCACACATATGTACGCAACCCAGGCAACGATTAGTTCTGTGAAACAAAGCAAAACCAATGTTACACCGTGTCTACACCGGACGCGAGTGGCGCGGTGTGACAAAATACTATAGAACTCATTATAATCAGTGATGCTGTCTACACCATAGATATATATACATATCTATGGTCTACACTGGATGTGGCGCGGCACGACACACAAATCCCCAACAGAAAACTGCTGCTGCGTTCTATTCATGACGTATTGACACAAATTTCAAATGATTTTCAACGGTCACTTTGTCACGTCCAGTGTACTAGACAGACTTTAGCTGTTGCGGCATAGACATGGTGTTACTCACCTATCGAGAAGAAACAAAGCAACCTCGGTGTCCGATCGCAGGCCTTCCGCTCCTTGAGTTCTCTCCAGCGCTGGATTTGCAAAATATATACATATATATGTTTTACTCAAGTACACTGATATTAAAACCTGTGATTTAGTATTAAAGTTTCCCTTTACTCGTCCAGGGTCATCCAGGTCTGATTGGTCTGATCGGTCCTCCCGGTGAGCCAGGAGAGAAGGGTGACCGAGGACTGCAAGGACCTCAGGGACTTGGTGGAGGCAAGGGTGACTCTGTGAGTGACATGTGCTCTTTATATACACCTGAGTTAGTTCCAGGATCTGGGTGTGCTTTTGTCTGCTCCTCATAGATGCTGTTATTTAAGAATATGTTTTGATTTTGCCCTTAAAAATATGAATTGTTTTGACTGCAGGGTCCCGTTGGTTCTCCTGGTCCCTTCGGTCCCCCAGGTCCTCCTGGTATTCCTGTAAGCTGTTTTTTTTTCTTTACTCTATTTTCTCTCCAAACCTTTTTTTCTGAAAAGCCATATATATGCTCCACAACTATTAGGAATATAGAATCCATTCCTGATTACATGTTATCATCAAGCTATTTACGTGCTATTCTCTTTCGACAAACCTGAAGATGCTCGCCCACTCTTGCCATTTACTCCACTTGGTTCCCTTTTGTACATTTGACCACCCTAACATTTGCTTAATTGACTTCCTTGTTGTCTCTATCTTCAGGGCACACACGGACAGAAGGGATCCAAAGGATCAACTGTAAGTGCTGAACCTCTCCTTGACACATATTTTTTTGTTCCAGTTTAAATTAAGCATGTCTTCTGTTTCCCCAGGGTCCAGCTGGCCAGAAGGGAGACCCTGGCCTGATGGGACCACCAGGTCCTCCTGTAAGAAAAATATTATTTTGCATGAAAATAAGATTGTATTGAGAACTGTGCTGAATCAAATTTACATGCTTATGTCTCCAATGGGATTGACCCTACAGAATTGTCAGTGATTTAATCTTTGATTGTCTATCTCTAGGGCCCAGCTGGTGACATCATTCAGCCCCTCCCCATCCAGACAAGTAAAAAATCGAGGAGGTCGCCCGACATGCAGGATGACGAAGCAGCGGGAATGATGGATTATGGTATGGAGGGAGTGGAGGATGTGTTTGGATCCCTCAACACCCTCAAGCAGGACATTGAACGCATGAAGTTCCCACTGGGAACCCAGGATAACCCAGCCAGAACCTGCAAAGACCTTCAGCTCAGCCAACCAGACTTCCCTGATGGTGAGAGAAAGTTATGAAGTTACTTTAGCATAAATGCAGAATTATCTTCTTTTTTTTTTTTCATTGTATAACATACACAAGAGTCAGTTAAGTCTGTCTGAAGTAAACAAGGCTTAAAAATCAACACATCAATATGAAAAGAGATATAGAGAATTACTTCTCTCTTTATCTGGGGCAAAAAAATAGAATTTTAACATACACTTTTTGACTGTAGGACATTACTGGATTGATCCAAATATGGGATGCATGGGAGATGCCTTCAAAGTGTACTGTAACTTCACTGCAGGAGGAGAAACTTGCATTTACCCCGATAAGAAATCCTCAGGGGTGAGAGGAACTCATCTCTGCTAAATCACATGATTGGTAGTCATATAAATAAAAAATAAAGAACTGTATTATCGTAGTGGATTATTTGATCACAGTTTCCATTTGTTCCAGGTTAGAATATCAAACTGGCCAAAGGAGTCCCCGGGATCTTGGTTCAGTGAATTTAAGCGTGGAAAAATTGTAAGTGTCCATTTTTCTCTTGCATTATAAATTTCATAAACTTTGAATCATAGCTCAGCAATTTGGTCATGAATGTCTGTTTGAAGAGTGACAGTAGTTTAGGGCTTTTAGGAAAAAATTCTTATTCGGAATGTTTCTGTTTTTTTTTTTTTTAAATGCTGGAAATTGATTATTTTCATAAAATTGGGTTCTTTTAACTGTTCTTAAACTTCAGCATTCTTCTGGCTATGCAAACCGAATGGTAACTTGATTCAGTTAGCAAAGGAATGAGTCTGTTTTTTTTAAGACTAAAATCGGTTTTGGATTCATGTTGTTAGTTTAACTCGCTTACTATACAGTCTGAAAGATTATTAACTTAAATATGTTACAAAAATAGAAGTGTGCTTAGTGTTTCTATGTAAGAAATAATTATTAAAAGGTCCTTTCTCAAAAGTACTAAATGAACTAGATCAAGGAATCAGAATCATTAAGCTGCTAACGATTCCCATCCCTACAACTCTTTGTAAAGCTCTTGAAAGTTCTTTCAGCCAGATGTTTGACCCGTTTATTCCTTGTGTCTCAGTTGTCTTATGTGGATGTTGAGGAGAGCTCGATAAACTCAGTCCAGATGACGTTCCTCAAGTTGCTCAGCTCTTCTGCCCGGCAGAACTTCACATACATATGCCATCAGTCTGTGGCCTGGTATGACGCCAAGGCTGACAACTATGGCAAGGCGCTGCGCTTCCTGGGCTCTAATGATGAGGAAATGTCCTATGACAACAACCCCTTCATCAAGGCTCTCTCAGATGGCTGCTCGGTAAGAGTGCTGTTGATCAGTTTGCTGTTTATACTGTATATTAGGGATGCTCCGATATTACAATTCTGTACTATTTTGTCTAAATAAATTAAACTAAATGTACCAAAAAAATGTTTATTAAAATAAGTCTCTTTATATGCTGTAAGTGAATTTTGGCATCACAACATTTTCACTTAGAGTAGGAAAAAGTGTATATTCGTTTAAAGATTGTTTCATTACATTTAACTGTTTTTAAAGATTAACTTTAAAGAAATTAAAGATCAACTTGATTAAAGTTAACATTAGACAACAACAAAGGTGAACTAAATGTAAAAATAGAAGAAATACCAATATATTAAAAAAAAAAAAAATCCAATATGTACTGATATATTATATATTTATAATATATGTTAATTAGGCAATATCACATTATCACAGCAAGATTAATGTTTATATTGAATATTCTCTCCCCCTACTTTTCTCATATTCTGGTCTGCAGCACTGTAAAAACAGACAAGTGAACCACTGTTATTGTATCATTATTTATATACTATTATAGTATTTATGAATATTTGACCTTTTTTTAGATTTTTAATTTTAATAATTGTTTACTTCAATTTATTTTTATTTCATTTTTAGTTTTAGTAATGTTAAACTTATTTTTTTGTAGTACTTAAACTTATTTTGAGTTAGTTGTCAAGTTTTAAGTTATTCATCTAATATTTATATATTTTTTTTATTTTATTTCAGTTTTATTTCAATTAGTGTAACTTATTTTTAATAGCTGTCGTTAAAGGGGACATAACTTTACTGCCAATCTCGTGTTAATCTTGAGTACTTATAGAGTAGTATTGCATCCCTCATATCTCCGAAGAGTCTTTAACTTTATCAGATTTATAAAAAACAGATACAGCTGTACCGCTTCTCTCCGAAAACAGTCGAGCTTCTGGAGCTAAAGAGTCACGAGCACGCAATGCTATTAGGTGTGTTCGACTTGAAGCGGCACTGTGCAGATCGATCAGTATATGACATCAAAGTACCGTGAGAGCTATAGAGAGCAGACGGCTCTGCATGCTTCCTTTGAATCGCTCTCGTGGTACTTTAATGTCAAACACCAATCAATCTGTGCAGTGCCGCTTCAAGTCGAACACACCTTTTGCGTAGCGATCATCTGCAAGCTGTGACATCAACATAAATAAAACAGGAAAACAAAAACTTTCTTGACTTAAATTTTATTTCATTTGTTTATAAAACCTTCGTCACCGAAATGCCGGGAACAAACAAACACACTTGCACAACTCCATTGCTGCCTTGGAGATACAAACTGCATTCATTGTTCCCTTAACGCTGGGTTCTTTTGGAAGCTGAACAAGGTTATCCTTCCCTCACAACCAGAAACACACTTCTTTGGTGACGTTGTTGATTTTGTGGTCTAAAAACAAAATGACAAATCCTTCTCGAGCAAGTCCTGTGCAGTAGAGGTCAACACAGAGGACCCGAGACCCGAGGACCCGGGACCCGACCCGGGATCCATACGGGTTCGGGGCTATATTTTAAATGGTCAGCCGGTTCCGGGTCGGGTCCCAATCTATTACTTCGGGTCCCAGGTCCAGCGCTGCTGATGTCTTCCGTTACTCGAATGAAGCATGTTGATGCCGTGCTCCTGCTCTCACTCTGGTTGACGTGTTTGCGCTCTTCTGGGAGAAGTGCCCATACAAGGAATTCCACCCTTTATGATGTCATACAGGGCCATTCTCGAAAAAAAAACTTTCTGAAACTTATACGAACCCTGAAGGAGTGTATTTAGAACAGAAATATTCTGTCATCCGTCCAACTCGTTTAACTTTGGCCATGTTTAGCATGGGAATCCAACTCTTTAACTGTGTAAATAAGTCAGAATGCATGAAATAGCATTAGACGTCCCCTTTAACAGCAACAAGTCGTACAAACTGTGAAACCTCAGTGTCGTTGGACTCTTGCTGCTTGTCCAATCAAATTCGATTATCAGAACTAGCAGTTCTATAATGCTGCTTAAACAGTTTCTAACACAATTAATCTCTTTCTCTTTCAGCTGAAGCAGGGATATTCTAAGTCTGTGATGGAAATTAATACTCCTCGCATCGACCAGGTGCCCATCATCGATGTCATGTTGAATGACTTTGGGGAATCCAGTCAAAGGTTTGGCTTTGAGGTAGGCCCTGTCTGCTTTCTCGGTTAAAGGACACCCCCTCTACCTTTATGGCAAGGGTCAAGGAGTGTGGCCAGCCAAGAGACCCCCTGCCCACCCCCTCCTTGTGCCACAGACACACACACCAGCAGCAGCTGCACTGTGTATTCGGAAATGGAATATCCATCGCCCTGGTGGGATCCCAGTCGCACGACTGAAACCTGGAATTGGAATAAAAACAGAGGACACGAACTACCCGGTGGACAATGGCGCAATTTTAGGAGAGGAAGGAGGACCCATTCCTTTAACATCTCACCACTCTAAAGCCTGTAAGATTCTTTTCCCATTTCCAAACTCTTTTTTTCTCCACTTGAAGTTTTAAGGCTTGTTTTTTTTTTGTCCCATTCCAAGCTTAATCCCAGCACCAATTACTCCCGATCCCAGTCCTTCCCCAAGCCCCAATCCAATTAATTCCCAATCCCGTTCCTGCTCATTTTTCCTGTATCCTTTACAGATCCTCCTCCAGGTGCTGCTCAGAGCAAGGCAACCACAGTGGTGTGCTCTTGCCGTAAACACCCAATCACTTAAGGTGCTATTGAAAGTGCTTTTTTATTTTTTTGTAAAACTGTAATTATTATTTTGTACAATACTGTTCTTTCACGATTGCCTTTAAATCTTGCATGTGCATCAAAATTGATTTGATAACTATCAAGAGTCTTTTCTCTAGATGTGTTTTTTTTATTTTGTTTTCGTGTTTGAAAACCAACAGTGCAACAGATTTCTTCACAAGATGTCAATCAATCAAGTGTCCCTGCCAACTATAAAATAAAGCATTTCAAACCATCCAGATTTGTAATTATAAAGTATCCATTTTGTAAATATTGACCAATTTAAGCACTTGAAGTTTCCTTTTTTGTCCAGTAATATATGGACATGTCTGACATGGTGAAGGATTAATGGTCTTCCACTAGCTTTCTTTTGTTCTCAAGAGGTAGCAATGGTGCTGTGGTAATCAGTGACTCTACAATGCTAAAGAAACTTGATGAAAAGTAACTTGATGTCGGATCGAATTTCTTGACACTATACCTCAATCTCTTAAAAGACGTATCCAATTCAAAGATGTTCAACCCTGTACATACAGAGCCTTGGTTTGAAAATCAAGTTTATATATTTGAGGCAGGGAATTTTAAAATAAAAAAGACTATTTGTTAAACTTTAGTTTGGTTATTTTGTGATTGCTATAATTAAACCTTTAGGATCTAAAACAGAAACAACTGTTTGAGGTGCTTTTCATCAGACAGTATTGTATTAAAATTGATAATTGTTTACTGTTTGTATGAATCACATCTTGTGTGATTCCTTCAGTCATTTTTCTTGTGATGTATGTGCAAAAGCTTGTTGCATTCTTCATTTCTCTTCATATTTAAAGTCTTTGTGCTAAAATGTGTTCAGGTTGTGTGGCTCTGTAATGCTTAAGCTTTGTTTTGATTGCTTTATTTTTCTTATGCTTCCATTGTTTTTACGGTTCTGTCTGTGTCCCTGAAAACCCTTCAAATATATTACAATAGACTTACACGTCTATGTAATATACTTATAATTTATGTAAAACTTGGAATAAATGATCGATTACATTTCAAGTAGATAATCTACTCCTTTTCAGTTAACAACTAACAAAGATTTATCATTTCAGTTCAAAACCACTCACTCAATCAAACCATTTAAGCCATAATGTCATTGGATGTAAAGCATGTTTGGTTTTTGAAGCATGTATTGTTGATCTTCTACTAAATCTTTTAGTTTTAAGCTCACAGAATGATGCTGAAATCTAGAATAGAGATTTGTAATTTCTTTAATAGCTGATGTTGCCATGGTGTTATAGGTGAACAGCTCATGCAGAAGTGATTATTCAGCTGCTGGAGCAGAAACTCGCTATGGTAATTCACCTGATGAGCAACACAGGGCTATGAGCACCTGCATGTGAAGTGCCTTGGATGTTAACATCCATGCATTTAGTGACCCTGAACTAATGGAGGCAGGTTTTTTTTTTTTTTTTGTCTTAGGTGGGAAAGTACTTTTTGAGATTTAAAAAAAAAAAAAGTATTTTCTTACTAGTCATAAAGGGGTAAGGAAACCATTTGATTCAGAAGAGAGGGTTTTTTGTTCTTTTTTTAGAAAGAGGACACTATTACAAAGGGCTACAGAAATCCAAAAAGTTTAAGTAGTATATTTTTAATGAAAACTATATTTCAAGGGCTGTGAGTGAAGAGAAAAGTCTGTTTTGGTGTATCTCTCAGAAAGTACAATATATTAGTAAAGTTCTTATTTTATTATTATCCCTATCTTTACAACCAAAATTATAATGTGAAAACATAAACATGTTGTAGTGGTGAAGCATGTAGTTTCTGTACCACTAGCATTACTAAACAGAATTGCAAAAACCGTGTCTCCCTTTGGTCAGACAAACCGATAATCCCGCCCTCAAGTCACGTAATTGGTTGATCCCATGTTGCTGTTTTGTGATCTCTAACAAACCGAGCAAAGTTAGGATAGCGCCACACATATTCACAGTGTTTACACTTGTTGAGGGAGTTGACCCACAAATTACATTTTTGAACATCAACAAAATCACACACTTTACTATTTTATTAGGAAATTTAGAATATGAATGTGGCAAACCTGGAAATATCAGGGAATTTTAAAATCATGGTTTTCAGGCATTTAAACGTAAATGTTACATGACTTTTGTACCCAAATGAAATATAAACATTTTGATGGAGATTATCCCCAGTGATATCCATAAAAAAATATTTTTCAGTATTGATGAATGACTGAAAATCGTCATTGTTGGGAACTCTGGATACAACTACATGTGTTCCTGAAGAGGGGTCAGTGCTTTCATGATAATATTCATCAATCAGATGTCAGTACAGTAGCCTGTGCACAGCTGCTCTGAATTTAAACTGTACTTCTAATAGGAATAACGGTAATTTAATTACAGATATACATTCAAGGACCTGGCGTTGCATCAGCTTTTAGTTTTTCTCTTTTGCTTTTCTGCCCTTTGATGGATGTTTTATGGTGTAATTGAATTTGAACAGCTTGAGGTCATCCTTCAAAAAAAAAAACACTGATGTGCAAAGAGTGATATGATTCTACAGTGCTACCTGTGTAAACCAGCATATTAATGATGACCAAATTTAAAAGCAAACTAACTACAAACCAAACTCTTGTGAAATAAGTAAAGGAGCAAAGAAGAGTGGAAGAGTGAGACTGTATATTTAGTCTGCTAAAAGTGAGTGTTAAGGAGTATGCTAACATTTAGATAATGCTAACAGATGCTCAACTAGCAACTTACATTAAAATGAACAACATTGCAGTGGAGTATTGCACTAATGTTCTACTGAATGGGAAACATGCATTACGGAAGCTGACAAAGGTGATGAACTGAGACTGAAATTGCTGATCAGATTAAGTCGACGTAAGTTATACTGTATTTATCTGTCATGTATATTCATGTACCATGTTAAGACTGCAGAATTGTCTTAAAGAATGTTCATCAATATTTTTATTACTATTCTCAGAAATAGAGTACTGTGGCTTGGAAATGATCAAATATAATGTATTAACCCTTAAATGCATACCTCGGGTCTTTAGCGACCCGGGACATCATTCTCTACCCTCTCCCTCCTTCATTTTTTTTAAGTTAGACATCAACTTTCTTAGTATTCCTCAATCTATTAATTATAAACAATATAACAAGAAAAAAATAGTAAAATATAAAAGAATGCCAGTTTTCTGATGAATTTTTTTTAAAAAGTGTATAGGGTCGCTAGACCCGAGGTATGCAAATGTGTAAGTATTTTTTCCTGCGCAACTATATTTACATATCTGATGACTCAATATGTGCAATGCATCTTTTTTCCTCAAGGTGGCACTGTTTGATACACAATGATAACGTGACGTTTCAATCATAATTACCGCAGGCATAACACAAACGAATAGCCTATCATCAGCAAAAATTGAACTGATTTGAATGGCTTAACTGCAGAGCAATTACTATATGCAATGAAATATAAATGTCACTGTCATTTGATGCTGGATGTGGTGAATAAGCTGCCAGTGATCAGAATATTGAATATGAAGTCACTGAAAGCGATAGTTTTGAGAATATGGTTGAAATCGTGAATGTGAGGCAGATGCTGAATGTACTGTGGAAGTGCGCTCTGACGATGACAGCGATGGTAAAATCATCTGCTCAAATTGAACCCTTTTAAGTTTCAAAAGGTAGCGAAATATGCTTTATTTTATTATTCTGTAATTGTTCTTAAAATATCAAGAAAGTTTTTTTGCTATTGCAGCAGTTAGAGATCCATCCGTGCTGGATATATTGGTCCGGGTCGCTAAAGTCTGATTGGTGAAACATTCATGCATTTAAGGGTTAAATTTGTTTCTGATAAACTGTGATCCAATATATAATCAAAGACATTATGATGGGGAGGAGATGGACCACTTATAAGATGAAAATAAAAATAAAACAAAAAAGTGTGCAAAACAGATGGACACATCTGTTTTTCATTTAATTTATTTTCAGAATAGATGGTGGATAAAACAAACAACACTAAGTGCTGAACGTCCAAAAACAGTATTCTCTATTGTAAAACTGACAAAAAGTTAGTTTAGATTTGCTTGCATGACTTTGCTTGTTTGGGATTCTGCATGGGTGCCATAATTTTCATTAATACTTAGTAGTATATACAAGCTATTTGTTTTTCCTTTTGCCACCACAAAACAGTGTAACTCTTGTAAAAATGAATGATCAGTAGTCAGCTGTTGCATGTTGAATCAAAAGCTGTTATTATCCTCTTGAGCTGTTTGAACACTCTAAAAGGAGCATCAGTGAAAGCTGTGCAGATCTAGTACTCAGAATGCTGAAGTTTAATGCAGAAAGACGTCACATCAAAAGGTTCTGCCAACTACTTGTGAATGATTGTCTTGAAATACCTTTATTGCATTATTCATTCCTTCCAAACTTCAAAGGTACTTGATCACTTCATAAAAGGGATGGTCATTGTCCTCAAAGATTCAACTTTCAGAAGTCTTAGTATTAGTATTGTGTAACATACTCAGTAGAACCGTACATGCCTACATCACAATTTTGTAATGAAAATTATATATATAATTTAAAATAAAATTGTTAAGATTAATATA